CGTGGGCCGTCGCCTGATGATGATGTCAGCCGCCTTGCGTGAGCGCGGAAGCGCGCCTTAGTGGCCGGCGGAGGCACGGAGGCAGCTCTTACGTCCAGGCCTCGGGCTGGTGGTCGCACGATTTGGGTGGGTCAGCCCGGCCTTCCCTCCAGCCCTCTGGGCGGTGTCGCGGCGGCAGGTCGGGCGAGGTTTTCTTGCGCGGTCTCGGCCGTGCGGTGCACTGCGAGGTCAGGTTCCGGTGGGTCAGGCCAAGCGTATTAGGGCAGCTGGGGCTCCATCAAGAGTCTGAGTTTGGGCACGTCTTCACCTGCCTTCAATTTGGGCAAAATATCCGGACTTTACACTAACTTCTCACAAGCCTAGGTGGTGATTTTTAAATGTTTAAAACATCCATTTTTGCGAGAACTCAGGATGTTTCAAAGCAGCATCTACTTGGAGACTTCACTGGTCAGGTCAGGCACAGGTCGGCCACTCTGTGGGGGAAAAGGCCACTCCTCGAGGTGCCCACAACTTGAATACCCCTTACTTCTGGCAGCGAAAACAGAGTCCTGATTCTTAAGTTAGCTTTTAATTTAAAAAACAAGATGGGCGCACTGTATAAAAAATGAAGTCCAAGGACATTCCCCCGTTAAAACCCTAGAACCCAATCCCTAAGGGCAGCTGTCCTTATGTTTTTGCCAATCCTTCCAGAAGGTCCGTGCAAACAGAGCAAGCCTTATATGGAATCTTTTAAAAAAACAAAACAAAACAAAACACAAAGCAGTTTCCTCATCTGTAAAATGAGGTTGAAAATGGTGCGAAGTACCTTGAGCAGTCCTTGGGATGTTGTTCTCGCTGACTGTGACAACTGTTGTCAATATTCCACAAAGTGTTTGAACTTCGTTTTCTGACTACCAAAGAAACTCAAAGATTGTTTCATATTCGTATCACAGACAGGTCTGCCTCTTCTTTTCAAGCCCCCTTCTGAGGGGCTGCGAGCCCCTACTGTGCTGAAGTGCAGGCCTGAATGCTAGCTTTTAACAATCTTTCTTTGCGTTATAGAAGGCCCTGGTTCTGAAATTCTGAATGAAACCACAACAGGCTTGTGTGTTTGGGGTTGGCTGGGGGAGTGTTTAAGGGAGGGGACACCTGGTGGGAGGGGAGGGCCCAGTTGCCTTGGCTGGGCCTGCAGGAGAGGAGCGCAAGAAGAGCTGCAGCAGGTGTGCACACACACATACGTGCACACCATTCCTTAGAGAGACCGTGAAATAGCTCATCTTCAGGCTAAAGCAGGAGATTCAGGTTAAAGCCTTGTCCTTTCCCCTCCCACCTGGCCTTAGTTAGAAGGCAATGTTCACACTTCATACAAGTCACGGTAAATAAGCTGACTGACCCATCCCCTGTCACACCTGCCTCTCCGAACCGGGAGGCGACAACTCAACAGTAATTGCGAGGCCGCAAGCAGGACGGTGGCAGAGGACAGGCAGGGAGTGTCTTCATGTGTGGATCCAAGTTGCATCTATATTTACTTTAGGGTGGTTTTCCCGGAGAAGTTTCAAGCCCATCTTGTGCCTCATTTCAAGGAGGAAGCAGGTGAGATCCTGATGTAAGCAGCTTTTGGCAGGAAAGAGCTCTCCGAAGGGGCACCCTTTTGTCACTTTAGCAAAGCTATATTGTCACTAACCTTAAACTAGGTGCCCCCATGCTCTACTCATCTCCTGCCCTAGCACACCTATCGAATTTTGATCACACAGTACCTTGCCTAACCTGTTGGTTCTTTCTGTAGATCAAAGAAATAAAAATGAAGAATTAACAGGTGTACAGATCTATTCCCTAACTTCCCCTCAGTAATGGCACAAATAAACTGTGAACAAGACAGCATCTAAAGAAAAGATCACGCTGGGAATCCCCTGGTGGTCCAGTGGTTAGGACTTGGCACTTTCACTGCCGCGGCCTGGGTTACATCCCTGGTCGAGGAGCTAAGATCCTGCCAGCTGCATGGTGTGGCCAAAAAATTTTTTTAAAATAAAAAGTAAAGATCATGAGGAGTTGACAAGCCTGCACATTGTGGGAGATGGCTATGAGTCTGATACCGTAGCTCCATGATTAACTGACATTACGACCCCTTTTCTCTTTAAAACTTTCATGGCAGGGACTTCCCTGGTGGTGCAGTGGTTAAGAATCCACCTGCCAATGCAGGGGACACGGGTTTGATCCCTGGTCCAGGAAGATCCCACGTGCCGCAGAGCAACTAAGCCCATGTGCCACAACTACTGAGCCTGTGCTCTAGAGCTGGCATGATACAACTACTGAGCCCACGCGCCACAACTACTGAAGCCCCTGCACCTAGGGCCCATGCTCCGCAACAAGAGAAGCCACTGTGATGAGAAGCCTGTGCACCGCAACGAAGAGTAGCCCCCACTCGCTGCAACTAGAGAAAGCCCACGCACAGCAACGAAGAACCAACGCAGCCAAAAAAATAAGTAAATAAAAAATAAATTAATTTTAAAAAAGAATTAAAAACAAAAAAAACCTTTCATGGCGGAGCAGCATCTTTAGAGGTGGATTTCCAGGACACGAGTCTGCCTTCTCCCCAGATTGCCATCTTTCTGATCAAAACATTTTCCGGGGCTTCCCTGGTGGTGCAGTGGTTGAGAGTCCGCCTGCCGATGCAGGGGACATGGGTTCGTGCCCTGGTCCGGGAAGATCCCACATGCCGCGGAGCGGCTGGACCCGTGAGCCATGGCCGCTGAGCCTGCGCGTCCGGAGCCTGTGCTCCACAACAGGAGAGGCCACAACAGTGAGAGGCCCGCGTACCGCAAAAAACAAACAAACAAATTTTCCATTTCTACCAACACTTCCCTCTCGAGTATTGATTTTCAAGCACTGAGCATCTGGAGCTGAGTTCAGTAACACTGATGTGCTTGGGAAATTGAGGAACAAGGTCTTTCTGGCCTCGCCTCCTGATGAGCAGGACAAAATTCTCTCCTTAGGAGATGGCAGCGGGGATCTGTGCTTCATGTCAACCTGGTCAGTTCTGAGGCCCATTCCAGCTAAGAAGGGGCACATGTCCCCTCTGTTGCCTGGGCCTGCGCCTAGGCCCCGGCCACACTCATTTCCAGGTTCCTAGCCACCTGTCTCCGGACCAGCATTCCTCTTTATCTCTGCACCAGTACAGTAGGGACCAAGCACCATGGCTATTCAAGTTGAAATTAACTAGAATAAAGTATAAACCCAGTGCCCCAGTCACATGAGCCACACTTCAAGTGGCTGGGGGACATGTCCGCTCACCAGGTCCAGTGGGACAGCCTGATGCCCTCCTGCTCCCAGCACTAATGGGCCCACCCCACTCTGCTCCTCGCCTATTTCTAGAAGCCACCGTACTGTTTAGAGTTTACTAGTCTGTGGCAGAAATTGGGCTGAGGGTAGGGTAACCAGCTAGTTCCGGTTTTCCTGGGACTTTCTTGATCATAGCATTGACGGCCTCATCTGGGAAGTCCCAGTCCTGGGCAAACCAGGGTGCTCGGTCCACCCACAGAGCAAGTGACGTCTGACTGAGCTCTCAGTGGGATGGGGTCAGAGGGCAGTTCATGCCCTTCGGTGGGGACACCCTGATGACACGTGCTCACTTGTAAATAAGACAGTCCTGCATTCACCTAAATACCCCCGAAGCCTCAAGCGTTAGAAGGCTCTGTGCCTGGACCCCCTCAGCCGGACTGGAGCCCCTCTGGCCCCCTGTGCCCACCTCCATCACACCTGAGTTTCTCAGTCATGAGCCTTTGGAAGGGAGCATTCTGTAAGAGGAGTTGGCTGTTTCTGAACCTGGGATCTTTTCTCTCCTGGGGCACTTGAGTGGGTTTTCTGAGGCCCCCAATACTGCTGATATCTGGCCTTGGAGGATGGACCTCCTGCTCTGGGGGGGCTCTTGCTCCCCTAGCAACTCTATGAACCCTGAGGACCATGTCCGCCTTCCTCTTAGCCTCTCCCAGGGGCCCAATCACCCAGTGCCCGAGACAATCCCCAGGCAGGGCTCCAGGCTCAGGCCTGCATCTCCGCCAGGGAAACTGACCAGGGCTTGCCCTTAAGTACGAGCTGCCCCCCGTACAGCAGCCTCTGTCCTGCCTCCTGCCCTGTTCCTGTCCCACCAGCTCTCCGTCCAATCCCCAGGGTCAGGCCCCTTTGCTCTGAGGGGAGTGAGATCCTTCCCGACACAGCAGCAACGCCCACCTCACCCAGCCATCCCCAGCGGACGCCACAGCCCCAGGCTAGAGGTCCCTGCTACCTGTGCAGCCTACACATCAAATTCCCCCATTCCTAATCCTAACCCACACCCCTAGCCCAACCTTTTGTCACAGATTTACCTGGGGAAGCCACGTGTCCACAAGATCTCATCTATTAATCAAAGGAGATGGAAACTTCTGATTTTCTTCTCTTTCTTTACTTTGGAGAAATGCAGTTAGGGTTGGTCCTCAGGGTCAATAAAACCAGCATCCAGTTCTGATGGCCCCCGGCCCCAGCTCAGTACTTCCGCTAAAAGCAGTTCGCCTCCTTCTCCTGGGAAGGGAGCAGCCAACGTAGCTGCTTCACTTACAAGCAATTACTAGCTAACTCCAGGTATCTCACCTGTTCTCATCCAGGTAACTCCCAGCGCAGGTGCTAAGGGAGGGCCCAGCACCTCTTTAGGGGATTCTGATGTGCTCTAAAGTGTCTTAATGGACAGCTAGGTTGTTTTTGTAAAATGCCAACGCCAGCCCCACCCTCAGATATTCACAAGTAGTTGGTCCGGGATGTGCAGCCTGGTGATTTTTCAAAGTGTCCCAACGGATTCCTGTGTGCGCAGGCTGTGAGGCCGGCTCCCGTACACCTGTGCCTGGGGCAGGTGCTCGGCCCTGGACCTCAGCCTCTGCAGTGCCTTCTGCTGAGCTTGTTGCCTTCAGCCCTCCTTCTCTTGCTCCCCCTCCCCAAAACCTACCAAACACATCAGGTGAGGGGAAAAGCAGCAATGTTCACATTATCGTTTTATTCGTCAGAATTTCCAGAGACAGGGTCTCTACTGGGCAAGTAGAAAAATAGAGAATTTTACTACTTTGAAAAGGCAGCTATGACAAGTGTATGCCGAGAAAAGCGCCCCTGGGACTCGAGGGAGCACAGGGATCAGTCTGGGGGTGTCTCCCCACGCCACTAGCAGGCCCAGTCCTGGAACCGGAAGCAGTCGCTGGCAATCTTCCACACCGTGTTGCTGGGCGAGGCCTGGGCTGTCAGGATGAAGTTCTGGTTGAAGTCCCGCTGTTTGTTGCCCTCAAACTTCACTGTCCCACAGATCACCACAAGGACCGTGGTCTGGCTCGGGGTGGCTTCATCGTGAACGGGCTGGCAGTCTACCACGTTGATTTGGAACTCACTGGAAGGCAGCATCTCAAAAAACTCACTCAAGGATTCTTGTCCCGAAACGGCGTTGCCGTTCCACACCAAGGTGGCCGTGCCCATGTACAGGCGGGACAGCAGCCGCCGCCTCTTGTCCATGGTGGTGTAGTACACGTTCACGAACTCCTCAGCGGCACGGCAGGCCTGGTCCACGTAGGTCTTGAAGTCCACAGACGCCATCTCTGGCCCTGCTGAGGAAGGCCTCCACCCAGGTGCTTCCTGTACCTGGGGGAGCCGGGCTGTGGGGCAGGAAGGTGAAAGAGACCCTGTGTGAATGCCACTGCCCATCCTGCCGGACAAATGAATATCCTCCTCCTCTGGTGGTGGCAGAACAACTACACATGGTGGAGAGATGATTCTAGGCACACACTGTTGCTGACGCCTGGTCTGACTAGGCCTCAGTTCACTCACTTTAAACGGGACCATCCCCAGCTGTGCATAACTGCAGTGTTGGATGAAAAGAAGCCGTGTACACCACGTGCTTAGTTAAAAAGTCTAAGACCTGCATGGTCCGCAGTGGTAGCAATTACTATAAATTTTAACGTGTTTCGTTTTATAAGCTGTAGTACAACTGATAGTGGAAGGCCGCTTTTTCCTGGAAGCATGGAACAGCTGTGACTGCCCTAGAGAAGCGGGTAAAGGGACTTTCCTGGAGGTCCAGCGGTTAGGGCTCCAAGCTTCCACTGCAGGGGGCACAGGTTCAATCCCTGGTCGGGGAACTAAAATCCCACATGCCGCGCGGTGCGGCAAAAAAAAAAAAAAAGAAAAAAAATTAGAGAAGCGGGTAAAGACGCTGCACCCTGAGGAAGGGAACAGTGGCCCAACAAAGGCCAATCAGTTTATCCTCAGCTCACCTACAGGGTCTGTGAGGGAGGAGGCAGGTTTCCTAAGAGGGTAAGAGAACAAATGCCACGAGGACAGGATGGGACCAACATGGTGACTACAGCCCTCATGACGGGCTCTAAGAAGCTAAGCTGGTGCTGACTGGAATGAGAAGCTAAGCCGGTGCCGAGCTCCTGGGAACGCAGGGGAGCCCCGTGAGCCGAGGAAAGACTGGCCAGATGGAAGAAATTCTATGGGGTGCGGGGTGGTGGCAGCAAGTTAGAATTTCAACTGTAGGGGAAATGTCACATTTCCTTAAAAACAGGTCCAAAAGCACAAGGAAAAATTATTATGACCTTTTTTCAGGGTATGGTACAACTATTACAGCTGTATTCATTTTTGCACGATTAAAATATTTCACTAAACAAAAATCCAACAGAGGACAACATTACTAAAATAGTGGATGGGTTTAGATTTACAAACTTAAATACCGAATATTTTTTTAAATTTCAACAAACTTAAAAAAAAAAAAAATCATCTAATGAAAGAGATAAAAGATCCCAGGCAGGGTTGGGAAGGAGTCAGGCACTATTAAGGGTGGAGGAAGGTGTAGGCCTGAGCCTCCAGGAGAGAACCAGCCAGGCTGGGCGGGAGCTCCCACCTAAAAAGCAGCGCTGGGTGCCGAGCGCTGATGCGGGGTCCTGCCACTCCCTCGGGGACCTCAAGTCCAGCCTCGCAAACACTCACTCCAAGCTCCTATTTCCTAGTGCTTTACATTCGTACACCACGTCCTTTAATTGTCACCGAGAACGGATGAGGGTGTTACTGTAACAACTTCGCTAATGAGAAAAGAAAACTTACGTGTGGATGGAGGTCACACCCCTGATCTGTCACTACAAGAACTTGTTGCCGGGACGACGCGGTCCTCTCACTGGCTCCTGCCCTTCTGGGGTCCAGTCTGGGGCTCAAGGTTCCGGGACAGCCAGTTTGTCATTTCCGCCTGCGGGCCCGTCTCCCTCGCTGGACTCCCCATCAACCGGCGTCCACGCGATTCCCCAGCACCTCGGGCCTCCGCCTCCCGAACGCAGCTCAACCAGCTGCCCGCCCGGGCGTCCGCAGGGAGGGAGGTCGTTCCTGCGGGGCTGCGACCGGCCCAAGACCCGCTGCGGCACCAGCCGGCATCCCCACCACGCGGGGGCGGGGGGGGCACCTACCTGCGCTGGGGAGTACCGACCTACGCGAGGGTCACCTACTTGAGCAGGGGGCACTTACCTGCAAGGGGTCACCTACCTGAGCAGAGATCACCTACCTGCGCTGGGAGGGGATCACTTAACTGAGTCAGGGGCACCTACCTGCGGGGGTCACCTACCTACGCGGGGGTCATCCATCTGCGCGGGGGTCACCTACTGGAGCAGGGGGCACTCACCTGCACGGGGTTACCTACCTGCCCGGAGGGCACCTACCTGCGCTGGGTGGGGGTCACCTACCTGAGTGGGGGGCACCGACCTGCGTGGGGCACCTACCTGCGCGGGAGTGACAGCGGGGCGGCGGCCCTAGTCAGCACCGGACAGCGTGGGCCTCAGTCAGCCGGGTAGGCGTGGGCGAAACGACCCGGGTCGGCGCAGCTCGGCGTGGGCGGCTCCGGTCACGCGGGCCGCGGCACAACGGACTTTTGGGCCGGACCCGCCGAGGCTCCGCGCTCCTCCGCTGCTCGCCCGAGGCGGCCCAGGAAGAGCCGCCTCCAACGAACCCCTTGCTCCCAGCAACCGCCTGGTCCGGTCGGCGCCTCCGCAGGTTCCCGCGCGCTGCCCCCGAGTCCGCGCAGACGCGAGTGCCCGGCCTCCGCCTCCTCCCCGTGACGGGCAGCTGTGCCAGCCAGTGGGACGGCGGACCGCAGGCTAGCCCCGCCCAGGTGTGGCAGAGGCGAGACGGCTTCCGGGAGAGACGCTTTCCCAGAAGACCACGGAAATCCGTGCTCGAGTCTTCATTGGTCAATCTGGGTCACAGACTCCGGCCCGACGTTAGGTGGGGCCTCTGATTGGACGAAGCTTCGCAAGTCCCGTCCCCGACTCTCGGGGCGAGGCTGTCTCGCGGCTGCGCGAAAGCCGCTGGGCATGAGAAGTTTATTGATGCCGCCGCGTTTTCAGGGTGTGTTTGTTCCCCCCAACTTGGCTACGCTAGGGCGCACCTTTGTCTGCTTTCCTAAGGGAAAACTTGCTCTCAGTGTTCAGGACAAGTTTAGAAACCGGGTGGGCTCTTCCATATAGGCGACCCTTCCGCCCCCAATGAAAAGTGTGGATTATAAACAAATAAGTTGCAGGCTAAGTAGAAAGGTGAATTGAACTCGCATCTTTGGAGCCGTATTCACACTTTACAAAGCCCCAGCCAGTGAAATTGGAGTTTAATGTACAAAACTCCGAATCTCTAGAGTGAAAATGAGAGTTGACCTGCATGTCCACTGGGTTGGATGTCGCACTGCTTTTAAGTTTCCTTATGTTTCCCATGTAAGCCCTTGTCATTTCATTCTCATAGCTTCGGAGGAGGTATCATTATTCCTGATTTTATAGACGAGGAGGCCGAGAGACAGAAATTAAATGACAACCTGAAGTCACAGAGCCACTTCAGTCCTAGAAAAGCTGGTTAGGAGGACATTAATCCAGCGCTACGTTCTGGTGAAAACACAAGGCTTTAAGCCTGAGAGGCAGCAGAGCCAGCAGCGGGAGGATGGGAGGGCAGGAAGCTTTCAGATTTGTGCCTCCAGCATCTAAATTGTGCCTGACCCACAGCAAGGGCGCGATAAATACTGTTTGAATGAACAGACAGGGCTGGGTTCAATTCATTGCTCCACAACATTCTAGTTGTGATGACTCCTCTCTAACATTTAATCCATTGCTCTTGGAAGCAAGCCTGTTTTTTACTCCCCCTGTGGTTCTTGAGTTTGGGAGGTTAGAGACACTGCTGGCTCCAAGGGCACAATTCTGGAGTGGTGGGATGCCTGGTTAGGGCCACCGAGCCTAGAGGAGTTTGCCAGGGGATTTTGGAAAAGATGATGTTTGTCTTTCTCCTTTTGGACATGTGATGTGTGCTGCTGCAGCCATCTTGCCACGCTGAGGGGGGCGCCCTTGTACCATGAGACAGACCGGAGAGATGGGGAGAAATGAAGAGTTTGATGACTGTTGGGAACCAAATCAACTCTGAAGTTTAGACTTTCTAATTTCAGGAGCCAGTAAATTCCATTTATTTTTTAATACTATTAAAAATTGGGCATAAACAAACGTATTTGTAAGTTAATTAGTGTCCTAGCAGAGTGATTGTGCAAGTGAGTTAACCTACCTGAGGCTCAGTGCCTCACCTGTAGAGAGGGATAGTAATGCCATCATTTCCTCGGGTTGATGTGAGGAGCTAATGGAGGAGGCTGTGGTCAGCGCTTAGCCCAGGGCCGAGCACAAAGCAAGCATCCAGGAAACGTTGGTGTATTTTGACATTTTGCATCGACAGCAGCTTCCTTATTTGCCAGCAATCCTTCCAACACCTGGCTTTTAAACTTGGGACAAGTGTACTGACAAATTGGTAGGATTTGTCACCAAACCACATGGGCGCCTTCTGAAAGATGAGCCTGGTTTGAGCAGCTGTGGAACCAATGGTCCATTTGCCTCGTGGAGTCTCTCCAGAGAGGAAGGACACAGCTGGTCAGACACGCTGAGCTGCTGGCAGCTCTGAAGACAGGCTGGGATCTTTGGGTCTGTAAACACAGGGCCGAGCTTTCCGAGTTGTCAGCGTAGTTCTCTGGTACAGGATCTGATGACGTCTGTTTGCTGCGAGAGGCTGTGTGACTTGGAGCTGATCTCCGGGGGTCTACAGTGATGGCTCGGCAGTTGTCCCTCCAACACGTTGCCTCCAAAGCAATCATGTGTTGTTTTTTCCCCTGCCTTAGAGGAATCATCTGAGCTGCTGCTGGACCAGGGTGAGCTGGGGCTGCATGTCTGGAAGGTCACGTGGGACGAGACTTTTAGGGAGATTCTGGGAAGGCAGGGAGAATGGAGGCTCGTTAGCTTAGGAGCTGAGCTGTGGCCGGAGCCCAGAGGGGAGATGTGAGCAAGAGAGAGGGAGGGACGGAAAAGGGCAGCTGGAGTGAGGCACGGGTGCACACACCTACACACTCACACACACTCACACACGCACGTACACACACCCCAGAGAGGAAGCAGCTGAGCTTCCCCAATAGCCAGCAGTGGGGCAGGGGGCTGCCTTGGAAACAGACCCTCCAGTCCTGGTCAGGCTGCCAGTGCTGGTGTGGCTCAGGGCAGAAATGAGCCTCCCTGCCAAGCCCTGCCTCGATGGATCTCAGATTCCCGAGCAAATAAATGGTCGTTGCCTGGTTATGCACCGAGGCTCCTGTGGTCTGTTGTGCAGCACCCTC